AAAGATTGTACGAGTTTCTACTCCATGAAGGAATAGGGAGCGAACCTGTTGTCTGAAGATTTTTCAAGTCTCACTTACCCTAGAGGAGTGGAACAGATCCCTTATCAAGTTTCAAAGCGAAGATGAAATTGAACAAAAACACGTTGTTTTTATCTTTGCCCTATTCTTGTTAACACAAGAATGAGCAAAGAGGGGCAGCTGTAAACACCTGTTTTTGTCTGGGGTTCTCGTTCGAGCTTTACTCCAGTTTATATATTATTAATTAGCCCAAGTTGAAACAAGTTACAACAGGCTGGATTAAACAGCCCAAACAACAGAACCCTAAACCCGTTAGGGTTTTCCTATCCCAGCTTCCAGCGTCGCAACATGAAGGCCGTTGGATCTGTCATCAGGATCCAACGGCTCACGACGTCCCAAGCATCCCCAGCCATCGTGCGCAGATGCTCCCAGAACTCCAAGACAGTGCGCGAACCAGCCAGCTGCAGTCTCACGTGAAGCCAACCCTGCTGCCATGCCCAGCGCCGCCTTCCACGTCCAGATCGAGCCTCTGTCGACCGTTCGTCTCCACCAGTCAGCACCCACCATGCATTCCTCGGGACAGCACGAACCAACCGGGTGCTACCCACGTGAAGTCCCTCGGAACTGTTCCCCATCGCCCGTGCCCAGGCTGTTGAAGCCCCGTGATCACCATGCCCAACCGGGGGGCCCTGCACACAAAACAACAGAACACGAGGAAGCAAAAAAAACGAGGAGATCGACTAGAAAAACAGAACATGAAACAAGAGAGAAAAAGGGGGGGTAACCATTAGAGGGGAGGAGAACGACCAGCCATCGACAACAACAAGAAAAACAGGGTCCAACCATCAACAAAAAAAAGGGAAAATCGTCCAAGAAAAAAACGCTCAACCCATCAGCCATCATCGAAGGAAAAAAAAGGTACAGAACCAAAAAGAAAACTTCCAGTAACCAAAAAATCAACAAGAACCCAAAAAATCCACCATCAAACGAAAAAAGAAGGAAAAAACAAAAACCCACCTCATTAATCCAGAAAGCTTCCGTCGCCCTTGCTAGGAACCGAGAAGAAGGTAAACCCTTCGTCTTTCGTTGTTTTCTAAGTCGTGCATGTCGGTTTTGAGCAATGGGTTGTAGGTTTTTGTTGGGTTTGAGTTAAGATTCAGGGGTTGCCCTTGGGTCCTTTGAGTATCTTGTGGGGAGTCTTAGGAGAAGGGAAATCTGGGTTTCGAGGGGTTTTGGCCTTAGATTCAGGTTGGTAACTACCGGGTTACCGTCGGGGGGGGGTTATGTGATGTCTGGGCTCCCCATCGGAGCCCCACGGTGGTGGCCATGGTGGCCACAGGTTTTGGGCTTTATCGAGGGTTGCGAGCGGAGATGGTGGTCTCGATCTGCTGTGGAAGAGGAAGAGATGAGTAGAGAAGAAGAGTGGCGCTGCGAGGTTTGAGAGAAAACGGCTGGGGCGAGGGTTTTCTGGTTTAGGCTGAGTGAAATAATGAGCTAGGGTTTCAAGTTTACCCTGATATGCCATATAACCGCACGCCAAAACGGCGTCGTCGCGCTTAGGTCCCAAACGGCGTCGTGTTGACGTCTAGGAGGGTATTCCGTGTTTTGATGTGGGGGTAATTGTGTGTAGGCCATTGTAGTTTCAACCTGTTCTGATTTGGTCCCCAATTGAACTTCATTTGTTTATGATTTCGCCTTGAAATTTTCAGCGTGTTTCCTTTTGGTCCTGTATCACGTTTTGGCTATTTTCATGATAATTTGACATTGGATGTGTAATTTTGGAAAATTTCAATTTGGTCTTATGTAATATTTTGTTCATATTATGTTTACAGTACTTGGGAATGACAATGTTTATGAAAAGAGTCTGTGGTTTATTTTCTTTATATTTTAGTCATTAATTCGAATGTTTCTTTTTTTAATTTAGTTTCTTTATTTTGTGTTCATTTAATTTTAGCCTTCGTTTACTTTTAATTAGTATGTTAATTTTAGTTTTATTCCTATTTAGTCACTTTTTGAAATATTTATATATTTTTAAATATAATAATTTTGCATGTCATGTTTTTTATTATATTTAAGTCATATTTGTACATTATATGTTAATATGTGAGGTTTGTATTTTTTTTAATTAAAATATATGTATATAATGTTTTATTTATTCTTTTTACTTATTTCAAATTACATGATGTTTTAATCATAATATTTATTACTCTTTGCATGACATTCAATCAGCATAATTTGCATGATAGCCTCACGTGAATAACTTGATCTAATCACATAATCGGAATTAAGGGTAATGCCCTTTTAATCTAAAATTATCAGAAGGGCTTTTCTTAACTTACAGGAAAGTTGTTTCGACGATTTTAGATTAAAATGGTATCCCGTCAGTAACGCCTAATTAAATTTGGATATATCATTGTAAAATTTGGGAGCGAAAGAAAGGGAAATATTCGACTATTTAAACTTTTCGAGAAAAGGTCGTTAGAACTGAACTAAAGATCTGGTCTCGATATTTTTAAATAATCGAATATTCTTTATCTTTCTAATGACTTGGTAATTTTAAATTAAATCTATTTTGTTGCTTTGAATGTTGCAAATTTGCATGTTTGTTGTTTAAAGGGATCATTAATCAAATTAAATTTGAACTTGCGGAATTCGTTGCAAAGACATTAATTAATCGACTAGGTACCGATTTAGGGCGTTGTGAGGGTGCTAATCCTTCCCCACACGTAACCGACTCCCGAACTTGGATTTTGGTAACGTAGGCCGTAAATTTGTCGTTTTAATTAAAATTAATTTTTAAAATGACAACGTTTTTGGGTGCCCAATCACACCCTAATCAAAGATTGGTGGCGACTCCTCGAACCTACATTTTAATTTATTTAAAAGGAATCCCAAATTTTTCGAAACGAGAGGTTTTCTAAAGTTGCATTGTTTTTAATTAAAATTCAATCGTAAAGAGAACATTTAAAAATGACGCGGTTTTCCAAATCTCGCCCCGTTAAAAATCGTTTCGACAGATTGATTTTATTCATGTTTATATCCATTGGCCAATGGCCTTTTGCTCTTAAAAGCAACAGAAAACTCAACCTAAAAGTGTGGCCAAAAGCGTTGATCTGTGGCACCATAAATCCTGCTTCAACTCCTGCTAAACAAAACCAGAAAGATCCCAGAATTCAATTACTTAAAACAGACTGTTTTCATATATAAAATAGCATAAAAAGATGGAGATCATGAAGAATTACCTAACTCAGGTTGATCAATGAGGATAGTCATCTTGAATGAAAAGATAACAAAAAAAACCCCTCAAATATGATATAAAAAGAATTGAATGTTGCGTGATGAGGATGGTGAGATGTTAAGGTGCAGCAAAATATCATGGTATTTATAGTCAGCCGGGGGAAGTCCTTGACTGAGAATTCCAACATCTTAAGTCCTTCACTGAAAATCTCATGTCCTTCCCTGAAAATCTACAAAACTTTTGATTCTTCATTCAATATCTTTATTGATGAAGAAATAATTGTTTTATTACAATTGAGAGTGGAAATGTTTAAGCATTTTTAGGTTTAGTGAGAGGCAAAGAAGCAAGAGTTTGATAGCAAGTTCGCAAAGTCCCACCATTTAATTTTCTAAGATTTGGTTCCTTATCTTAAAGCAGAACATCATTGTCATGGCTGAGTCGACTCATCGTTGGATACCACAAGTTGTCAGACATTCTGAGGCCGGTTCATATGATGGTCATTGCCCAGTTGTGGTGGTGGCACCCTTCCTTTGTTCTTATCAGGCGTAAACGTAACCACTGCATTCCCTGATCTGAATTGGAGAGCCATGAGCGTTTGTGCGACCAAGCCGACGTCAGGGGTGAGGTGTGGCAACCCCATGGACGTACGGGCTGTGTCGGGAAACGCTGGGAAGTTGACACGCGTGTCGTTTTTTCCAACACCATCAGACTCGTTTCTCGTGTTGGCTAAAATTGACTATAGAATTGAATATTTTTTGATGGTATATCCTGATTCATTAGGCAGAAGAGGACTAATTTGAACAAAATTTTAAATTAAAGTAATTATAAGTAAATGTATATTAAATAGATAAATTTGACCTGACTTCATCACTTACGCTTATTGATTCTTTGACCCGTAACTCAATTATCAAGTGACATAACTCAATTATCAAGTGACCTCAGTCGAGATATTTTCTTTAGAAGTTTTGAGTTCGAACAATTAACCTGTGCAAATATTGTCTTAAGAAGTTTAGAGTTCGAATAATTGCATTCGCAAGGTGTGTTATCAATTGATTAATTTTTTTGAACAAATATTACTTTGTAATTATTTCAGACTATTCAAAAAAATTATTTATGATCAAATTAATTTGTGGTTTATTTAATTAATTTAATCAGTTTAAGTTATTAAATCGGTTTAATTATTACTTTTGAAAATCCATGTAGTGAAAACCAAATAAAATAATAAAATAAACAATAAATAAACCCTAAGATACTATATATCTCAAATCAATATTCAACTCATACAAAACCAGTCTAATCCTCCATTAAAAATGGGTTAAAAAAAACAATGGCTTCAAAATTTCATTCTCTTAGCTGGACCTTGATCAATGATGGGATCAAGGACAGGAGGTTGAGGTTCCGCTGCTTGCTGGTTTTCCGGCTCTTTCTCTGCCTCTGTTGTAGGAGGAATAAAGCCGTCGGGAAACGGAGGTGGTGGAGGGGCTGGCCCTAATGCAATTTGAATACATAGATTTATTCTCAAAAAAAGAAGAAATCACAGATAGTTTTCAAAAACCAAAAAGGGGCTAGTAAATTTCTTCATAAAGAAAGGTTGTGATTTATGATTATCAAAGTCAGTTCCACATGACTATTTTTTGGACTACTGAAAGCATAAACTCCACAAACATCAAGTAGAAAAAGCAAGACAAGTAGGCAACAAACCAATGAAATCTCAAATGAAAAATGTTGTGGATCATATATGGATCTATACGATCATACAAATTAAGATCGATATAGAGGTGGAGGCAAAATTTTACAACACATTGGTTACCTTTCGCTGTAAGGAGGCGAGAATATGATCCACACGCTTAACTTCCTTGAAGTCGATTGCCTCTTTACCACCCTTTGGTTCCAAAGTTTCACTTTCATTTTCAGTATAACTGTATCAGAAATTCAATTCAAACAGTGTAAAAAGGCAACAATGAATGATGCGGGCACAATATGAGATACCAATGGATGCATTCCTACAGAGTTTGAAACACTAACAAGATTGATTAATCAGATAAAACTTACTCCTAGAATGATGTCGCCAAAAAGCTACAAATCAAAGAGTTAAAACTGCCCTATATTGCTTATTAAATGAGAACACAGAGATCCTTCACAAAAAAACCAATCAACTGTGTACAAGCAAGGATGAAATAACTATTCTGACCATGTAATTATAGGACTAGATCAGCATGCCTTGAACATTTACACGACTGTGAAAGAATTTAAGAACCGCATCATGAGTCACCGACAACCACAACAAAATTGTTCTAGTTTATGCAAGGATTACATGGTGGTCAGAAACTAGGGTAACTGAGAAACTTATTGGACCATGTCACAACAAGAAGAATATAATCTTCCTCTGTTTTTCACATTGCTCTCTCTCTCTCTAAAACCTAAATAAACATAAACTATTTCCAATTAAAGAAATCAGAAGTGATTCCTATCAATGAAAAAAGGGAAAAAGACAAATATTTACCATATCCAATCTTCTCCAATTTTGATGCAGCAGTTGTAAAAGCTTTAGATATTAATAGAGAGCACGTCCCTGTCACATGGATAAATATCAAAATCCAAAAGATGAAGTGCAAACAGACTCGATGCGAAGGGACAATACAGGAAGAATGCTAATTTTATGAAGACAAACAACAGAAATCTATTCCTTTAAACTCTGTTTACTTCTTAAAACTCTTTTTTTCCTCTTGGTTTTTATTACTGGATTTCTTTCTTAACTAGATATTCACTTCCAGGTGTGTAGTACAAATGACCAAGACATCTGAAGACTGAATGGAAAACCAGTTTTGGTAATATTTAAACAAAAAGAATGATGTTACCAGACTGAAATCAAATGAGTGTCCAGGTGATAGTATCATTTTGTTATACAGACATAAACATGAAAGGAAAACAATGTGACGGAACTTACAACTCGAGCTGCAAAGACATTGCAAAGCTGTGGTGCTTGATATAGAACCATCCAAAATATAATATGCCAGCATCGGTGTGACTTTCTCTGCATTGTCCCTCTTTTGCTTACGAATAACAAAGAGATGTGGTTCCATAACTTCACTAAGCATATATTCTATCCCAGTCATTTTCCTATATTAAAGGGGGGAAAAAGAAATTACTGATAACTAAATCTTTAAACTAGGATTATAAGCGATGATTGATAGGATAATCAGCAAGTTTTCCAATCAAATGCTTTTTGGTAGCTATCAAAGCATTTTTCAAGTAAATAAAAAGCCAATCACAAATACAACACTAGGCTTCCTATTCCGCTGGCAGAATGCATGGAAAATGGCTCATCTCTGGGTAATATTGAAAACCAAATATTAACAAATTTAAAGCTTTGATTTACCCGAACAACTAATTCGTTAACGTATCAATTGGTTTTCAGAATATTGACATATTCAATTCCAAAAATAAAAATGAATAATTTATCTTGCAACATGCCAAAGAGAGTTGATTGACAGGGAACAAAGACTAGACTTAAATTTACTTACGAAAGTTGAGAGATATCGAGGGGGTGAATGGATCGCATCCTGAGATGCTCGTTGTTGCAGGTCCAATCATAGAACGGAGATAGGGCAAAGTAATCGAAAACCAGGTTTCGATCCAGAGGGTACGTGTTTAACCACAATTGATCTCTGAAACATATGCCCGTCATGTCGGTTCCAGGAGGCTGCATAGGAGGTGGCGGTGGTGCTTCAAAGTCCCCCCCTGCCGCCGCCTGTGATGGCGGAACTAGTGGCGTCGCCATTTTGGAACTATGTTTCCTGGTAGGTTCTAGTTGACGTTTAGTCCGGTTATCATGCCTTTTAACTATATAAGGTCTCGAACGACGTCGTTAATAAAACGGTCGACGTAATTAATCGCAAGATTAGTTTGTGTTTTATCATGATTTTTATTATTTTTATATTTATATTTTTACATAATTTCTTTAATAAATATTCTTATTTTCTAATAAAAATAGTTAGTATTTTATTTTATATATTTAGATTGAAGTTTATTTAGTATTGCATTTAGAGCTTTCAAATTATATATATATATATATATATAGAAATTATAAAAATTACAATTGTTTATCATAATGTTTAAAGTTTTATTGGAAAAATTATTCTCCAAAATATTATGTTTAACTGGGAACCAGCAGATCCTACTGCAAAATATTATGTTTACATGCACTTTGCAGAGCTCGAAAAGCTGAAGAAAAACGAGATCAGAGAATTCAACGTATCTCAAAATGGTGAACTTTTGTATGGTCCTATTGTTCCTGATTACTTATATACGAAAACCTTGTATACCACAGTTCCGGTCAGCGGAAACTACATCGAGTATTGGCTGGAAAGGACTAATAGAACAACGCATCCGCCGATCCTCAATGCTCTTGAAATTTTTATGGTTAAAGATTTCCCAGAGTCACAAACAGACCCAGAAGATGGTACGGTTGTCCAAACTTGCTTTAGTTTTTTTTCCTCCAGTTTTTTTAAAGAATACTTGATCTGTGCTATATATTACACAAATTCTAATCATCTATGTACAATTAACTAAAAATTACAGTTGATGCAATAACGGATATCAAGTCAATATATGGAGTGAAGAGAAACTAGAAAGGAGATCCTTGTGCACCTAAAACTTACTCATGGGATGGCCTTAATTGCAGTTATGACGGCTCCGGTCCTCACCGAATTATATCTTTGTAAGCATGTGTCTTGGAATAATCATGCTGGTTTAAGCTAGTAAATGCTTTCACTTTTCTAGTAAAATGTACGTATCTTTGGCGTTTTCCATATGATCCATACCTATTCATTGCATACTGCATATGCAATCAGAAACTTGTCTTCGAGCAAATTGACTGGAAAGATCTCTGCTTCGATATCTAAGCTTGCAATGCTGCAACATTTGTAAGTAAATATCTATGTCTAGACAGATAGGAATGAAAAAATGAAGCAGCAATCATCATCTATGACCATGGAAATTGAACAGATTGAAAATTTTTGTTTCAGGGATTTGTCAAACAATAGCTTTACAGAGATGTACCTGATTTTCTATCACATATGCCGCTCTTGAGCATCTTGTAAGTCGTCCTGTTTTCGAATTAGATGTAAATTGAAAATCTATAAGTAATAATGGATGTTGCATCAATCCTACTGCAGAAACTTGGAAGGAAACAAGCTTTCAGGTTCACTTCCAGTTGCACTCATGGAGAGATCAAACAATGGATCACTATTACTAAGGTCTGCTTCTTGTCAAATTCAATTACTCATATCAGAATCTTAGTTCAAGATAGTGAACAGTCTACCATGTACCATTTTTCGCGTTTAAATCCCAAGTGACGATATAGTTGTTCCGTTTTTTTATCTCAAATATCACTGATTTAATCATTTATCGATGCAAGTGTCGGAGAAAATCCAGACCTATGTCTGACAGCTTCATGCCAAAGGAAGGAGAAGCATAAGAACAAGCTTGTTGTTCCACTTGCAGCATCGGCTATTGTGATTTTTGTGATCTTAGCCGCATTAGCTGCATTTTGGAGCCTTCGAAGAAGAAAACAAGAAGGTATGTATATCACAAAAATATTGATCATATCTATTCAATAAAATGAGAAAAAGAATACCCCAGGTGCATCTCTGCTTATTAAACTTGTGTTTTGGTGCTATTGTTAGTTGTTACAAAAGTGAGTGCTGAGGATCAGAACAAGGGTGGAACAACATTGGAGTCAATAAATCGAAAATTTACATATTCCAAGGTCCTAAAAATTACCGACAACTTTGTGACTGTTCTTGGGAGAGGTGGATTTGGAACAGTGTTCCTTGGCTGCTTGGATAATACTCAAGTAGCGGTGAAGATGCTATCTAAATCATCAGTCCAAGGCTCGAAGGAGTTTCACGCAGAGGTCTGCACATTTATTATTCAACCCCTGGAATAATGTTAAGCTCATTGGCACATTTTTTGGTTATATTCAATGTGTGGCTTCATTTTACGGGTCAAACTCCTAATGAGAGTGCATCATGCCAACCTAACTAACCTTGTTGGGTATTGCAATGAAGGCAGCCATATGGGACTTATCTATGAGTACATGGCTAATGGAAACTTAAAGCAGCATCTTTCAGGTCTTTGTAAGAGAACATCACACGCCCAATTTGTTCAAATGCATCTTGAAATTCACAAACTTGAATGAACTTAAGTTGCTATGGTGATGCAGATCGAGATGCACATACCATGAGTGGGAAGAAAGGCTTCGGATAGCAGTCGATGCAGCTCAAGGTTAGAGAATTCAAAGCCTTTCACCTATCCAATTATTTCCTATATGCGATGAACATAACTCAGATGATGTGTTGTGGAATTTGAAAAATCTAGGATTGGAGTATGGATCTAATCCACCCATTGTTCACAGAGATGTGAAATCGGCAAACATCTTGTTGAATGAAAAATTCCAAGCCAAATTAGCTGATTTTGGCTTGTCAAGGGCTTTTCCAGCTGAAGGTGGCACTCATGTCTCAACAATTGTTGCTGGCACCCTGGCTACCTTGACCTGAGTAAGCTTTTTCATGTTTCACATTTGTTCCGCCTCCGTCAAAAGTCCTCCACATTGTTTTCACGCCTCAAAGTTCTAGGAGAACCCCATAGTCAAGATCTCGGAAGAAATCCGGAGAAAGAATCTCAAACATCAACACTCCTTGAAAACCGGGACTTGTTGGCATGACCTCTAACAGTCGCACATGACCTACCAGAGCCAAATCTACTATCACCTATAATCTTACCATATTTACCGAGCCTCATAATAATACTATCTCTGACACTTGCATTAATGGTTACTACAAAGCCTCTCAATCAAGATCGGAGAAAGGATATCTTCACTCATCTCCTGTCTACTTTCTTATGCAGATAAAATACTTTGACACTACGACGGTCCTTCTACTGACTACGACTTTCTATCCAAACCAAACTGAAAACATGATCATACAATTATTTTTAATTAAATCAAACAAACATCATTAATTACTAACTTCTATATGCTTGGAATGCAGATACCTAACAACCAACAGGTTAAACGAGAAAAGTGACGTGTTTAGCTTTGGGGTTGTTCTATTGGAGATATTTACAAGCAGGCCAGTGATCACCATATGGAACGATGAAGCCACTCACATTAGTCAATGGGTTAGTTCCTTGTTGGCAAAAGGGGACATCAAGGGCATCGTTGATCCAAGGTTGGGTGGAAATTTCGAGATCAATTCTGCATGGAAAGTTGTGGAATTAGCATTGGGGTGTGCGTGTCGCAACTCAACCGATAGGCCAACCATGAGCGAAGTGGTGATGGAATTGAAGGAGTGTTTGAAAAGAGAGGTGGCTCGCAACAGGTGAGTCCCCGGCCCAAGAACTAGCGGCCTAAGGCGCGGAATAAGCATAAATCTGGATACCGAACCCTCTCCCAGAGCAAGGTGAAAGTGTATTATTGTGATTCATTTAATGGGACACATAAATAATCTGTGTTTCTTTTTTCTTTCTCGATGTTATTAGGGTTTGACCCTTGATCATAATTGCTGGCAAATAAGTGTTTCTTTTTACCATTCAAATCATACATTATATATATCATGCTATGTCTTATATATACTGTGAATATCTTTTTGTCAACGAGAAGTATGGAAATTGATGGAAATTAGTCTCAACTTACAGAGATATGATTCTTGGAGGATCATAACCATTATAACTACAATCTAGACCCTCCCACAAGTAATCCTTGGGAACACATGGATCTCCTTGCCAATTTCTCTTCAATCCATTCATTGATTTTATATTCAAGATAACATCAACTGTCATGTTACAAAAAATATGCAGATTGAATTCGTGTTAGTTTAAACATTAGTCAATATGTTAATCATAGGAACATACCATCTTTCTGAACCATTTCTGATTTTGAGAAATTTTTAACCAAATAGATCTCGATAGTGTTAAGGATGGGTGGATGGGTCGAATCTTCAGTTCTGTATATTGAAAACTTCTGTTCATTTCCAGTCGATGGATATTGGGAGAAAATAATGTGTGCTGACAAGTAGGAAGGACGGTAGGGTCCAAACCAATGCTTTCCATTGTAAGATATGTTGAACACTCTAGACTCATTGGCTTTTAGCTCTTCAAGTTCGGCAATGTGGATATAGACATAGAGTTTGGAATCTGGATCAGTTCTGATGGAGAAGTCCATGGACATATTAGCATTGACTAGTGTACCAGCAGACATCATGGCATGCAACGGTGGACAGTAATTGTTATTTTCGGAGTCGATGACTAAAGAAGTATTTATTTGTTTCCAATCAAGTTTACTGTAAGGCCACCATACACGATCATACAAGTCTTCTTTATACCTGTGAGAAATTGCTCATTAAAAGTATGATCTTAAGCAAATATATGTATGCATATGAAACGAAATAGCTTATACCTAAATGTTCCAGGTGTTGCTGAGGCAACATCGAACCTTCCGAAGTGTTCCAACGATCCGGCTTGAGTTTGATATGTTGTATTTGGCAAAAACCTTAGTTCTAATGATGATATGAAAGGAACCCCATTGCTGCAAATGATTTGAAGGAAGGACATGGATAATGTCCATTGTTAAATCACTTGACACATTTGTAAGAATCACGGTTCCCCAGAACTTTGATCCCAGGTGAAGATCAAATCTGGGAATTTCATTTTTCCCATCATAGTTTCCGTACACAAAAAGAGATCTGATTAAGTATTTATCTCCCATTTTCAGGCTTATATTATAACAGTTCCGGATCCCTTCAGGAAAGCTTCTCAAATGCCAAGCCTCTGCTGCACAGTTGCTTGGAATTCAAGTAAGATCCTCTTGCTCACGCCGGTTTCGATGTAAGCTGCATCTGATATGTGGTTTACGCCGGTTATGATTTGAGTATAGGATGAGTTTTCCGGTGACCCGCAATCCAAGCTAATGAAACCTGAAAAAGGAAAAAAAGAACCATAGGGTAGGACTCGGTTATATAGCGGAGAAACGTCCTGAAACACTATCGTTACATGCTATTAGCTAAGATTTAGGAACCTGAACCTGATTGATCCTGAGCATGAATCAACATTGCAAAGCAAAAACTGCTAATCAGTACAAGAAGGAAATGCTTTAACATCTCCATTAGCACAATGGTGAGTTCTTTGCAAGGTGAGCAATGGAACAGTAAGCATATGTGTGTAAGTTATAATAAGCAAAGTAGGGTATTGGTGAAATAAATTATGAAAGCGAACTTGGTCAACTATTCTTCCATATGATTAGTTAAGCACTATATTTGTTGTATCCATGGACGGACATAAGATATTATGTTAGGAGGTGGAAAATTAGGAAGTAATATTAGAAATTTAAGAGTGTGAAATTACAAAATTTTAGGGCATACAAAATCATATCATCAATAGAAAATATCTAAACTACATGAGAATTTAAATTTTTCAGATAATGTGATCGTACCCGAGCCCCTCGGTTTATCCATGGTTGGATCACTGTCATCCCATTCCCATACTGTTTTTACCAAAATATTCAATGTTTTGTCAAAATATGTAGTTTTTACCATAATTTATATACCTTGCTAAAATTTATGACAAGTTAGCATTTTTTTTATAAATAGAATAAAATATCTAATGATATGTCCATAACAGTTCAACACTGACTCAATCCTAAACCGAATCGGCGGTATTATACGGACAATAAAATCAAATACTTATTTGATTATTTGAATTTCTAGGTAGGAATGTTTGACAATGATTATTTGAACTTGACCACTATAGGTTTAGAGTTCAAGCCAAATCCCCCATATAAATCCATGCAACCGAAACCGAGTCCTGTTCATTTCTATTGTAATAGGTGGTGTATAAATATTGTCTATGATCTTTAAAATTCTATTTTGCAAATGAAGAAACAGTCATCATGAGAGAACATACATAGATCTGAAGAAAATATTGAGTTAACAATTTCAACATATTGATTTCCGATTTTATTAAAGAAAATATATAATCAAAAGATCTTGACATTGTGATCAGAGTTTGTTTACAATCTCAGTTTCTTCATGAAAATGAATAAAAAATGAAGTGAGTGGAGTCTAGCGACGTCATAGAAGTTTTGGCACCAGAAGCAGCTGTTGGGTTTGGTAGAGGGTCCTGAACCTGACCCTTCTGGCTAAGATGAGTGGACACATCGGTGGTGCCGTGGTCAGAGTGGTGGCGGTCGTCAGAGTTAGGTGGAGGATGGTAGTATAAGCGTCCAGTTTGTGGGCAATGGGAATGGAACCTTGCAGCTATTCTTATCCATGCATCCAATAACAACGTATATTTTCCCATTCAAAGGAGAGAAATTCTGGTGTTGGATTGCTCCGAAGCTTGTGTTTGATGAGAAAAGATTAAGGGGAGATTCTTGCTTTTATACTCCCTTTCATGTCATTATGACTTTTTCTATTTTGTGTTTCATTTCCTATTTGTGATCCTTCTTTGACCTTTGCATAGTTGTTTTACTTTAATTGCAGTTTGTTGAAATAACAAAGTATAATGACCTATTTCATTGTTTAATTTGGTACATTTCCATAAGTAGCATTGAAACCATCATCATCCTACAAGCCGACGTTGTTGTGGTTGTTGTTGTTATCTCTGCTAGTGTTCCAATCAATTGGTCATTCAAAATCTGGGAACTGCAATTCTTCGATCAGCTTTGAAGAATTGCAGGAAGTAGAATGTGGATGATGGCCCGGAATTAGTACTAGGGACCAAATTCTAATGGGGTTCGGTCAACGGAACTTTGTCGGTGCAATAACCATCGATATCTTTCACCATTGTCGTCGTCTCCGTTGTTTGGTCGAGTAAAGGGTATGTGATTGTCATGCTCTTTACTTCCTCCTTTGATTCAGTTATTGTGGAATTTAAGGATGTTTCAGGCAGCTCCTTGAAATGAAATCCATCTTGGAAAATGATTTCCTGCACTTTCATTTTTCAGTACACAACCTTTTCCTCTCTCCAATTTTTAGAAATTTAGACCATTTCTTTATTTTTTCCCCCTAAGGTATATGCAGCAGGACAGTTAGTTGGCCTCTTGAATTTTATCCACTATCAGCAATGATGTTCTGCCTCAACTCGTCGGTGCTGAAACATCGACCACTGTGTGGAGTGTTATATTCAGGTTGTAGTCGAAATTAAGCAGGATGATACTTATGCATCTGCATTGTACACTTGGCTCGCCGGTCGCTCTTTTATGTTACTCGACCATTAAGTATTGAGAAAATAACTTCAGTTACCGAAAATGCCTTATAATATACGATTTTAACCAACTTTTTTTGGATTTGCCAAAATGACCAACAAAATCGCAACGCGAACTCTAATTTTTCAACTCAGTTTCTAAATTCGCAACGCGATTTTGCAATAGTCCAAGTTCGCGTTGCGATTTTCCAAATTTACGTTAGTCCAAATTCGTTGCGATTTTCCAAATTCGTTACGATAGTCGAAGACACGTATTACCACGACCACGACTGGTGGTATTGTATTTGTTTCTTAAGAATTTTCTCTAAAAAGATAATATCTGCTCGGACGTGTCGAAGACACGTATTACCACGACCACGACCACGAGACGGGACGGCGGCGGTGCGCGAGAGTCCCCCTTGTTCTCTTCCACTCAACAAGGAAGTGGGAAATCCAAGCCTCAATACTATGTGGGATTGAGCATTACCAACACTTGGAAATCTTTTACACTATCGCAACACATTCTTTATTGTTTCAAACTCCACGTGAATTTGAAATAGTTAAAATGTAAACTTATTTTGGATTTTTCATTATCGCAACACTTTTTCACTATCGCAACAACACGTTTTTCAAACTCTCGCAACACATTTTAACTATCGCAACACATTTTTCAAAATCGCGTTGCGAATTTGGAAACTGAGTTAAAAAATTAGAGTTCGCGTTGCGATTTTGTTGGTCATTTTGGCAAATCCAAAAAAAGTTGGTTAAAATCGTATATTATAAGGCATTTTCGGTCACTGAGGTTATTTTCTCTTAAGTATTTACCTTTGTTTAATTTTTTTGGGTAAATTTATACAAAAAGCCCTGAAACTTTCCTCTCAAACCTAGATTTCGGACTCCCTTTGATTCACCTGTCAGAGCATTTTCTTCAAAATTTGAACGGTAGGGAAGCCGAGAAGGAGGAGAAAAGAAATATATCTTGATTCCAAGTTGATCATATGATGGAGATGACATAACTGACCAAGATAAGATCGAAGCTTTAATTTGAGTTTTATCAATTTTGAGAAAAATCAAACTAAGAGAAGAAAGAGGAGTGAAAGTGGAATGTTTTAGCACCAGTTACATCATAAATGACGACAGTCAAT